GGTCGACATGCGAACGACGACCACCCGTACGAATGGAATGGAGAGGTGTCTGCGGTTAACCACAACGTTCTAATTGGGGCCAAGAGGTTAACCAGCAGCACACTCCTCTCCTGGGTGGTCGTTCGTTCGGTAGTTTCAATCGGTAGTTTGTAATTACACGAACGGGAGTATACGAATAGGAAATCCAGCGAAACAAAGGGAAACAGACGAACCAGCAATACAGATGAATCTGTCACAGGTTCGATGACCGACTTCTCCCAATTGATCAGAAAGCCCAGGTTTTCTAACAGATTTCTTGTCCAAGAGAAATGTTCGTGCAACAGAAGCGGGTCTTGCGCCATGATGAGGATATCGTCCAGGTATATTATGAGCCGCACTCCCCTGCTGCGTAGGAGGGCGACCACTGGTTTCATGAGCTTTGTGAAGCACCAGGGGGCCGATGAGAGACCGAACGGTAGGCATTTGAATCGCCACATGGTCTCTTCCCATCGGAATTGCAGGAAGTGTTGGCAGTCGTCGGCCATTGGGACCGTGAGATATGCGTCCTTCAAGTCGAGTTTGACCATCCAGTCCCCTGTGAGGAGGAGGTCCCGGAGAGAGTGTATACCTTCCATCTTAAAGTGATGGTATTTGACAAACATGTTTAAAGGTCTCAAGTTGATGACTGGGGGAACGCCTCCGCCTTTTTTGGGTACTAAGAATAGGTTGCATAGGAAACCTGGGGTGACATGGGGAATTGTATAAATTGCCCCCTTGGAGGATAAAGACCTGGACCTCTTGGGTTGTCAACTCTCGGTCCCGAGTGGTGAACACCATTCGGCTGGGGGGGTTTCAGTTGAACAGGGCATTGCACAAAATCTATAGAGTAACCCCGGACCGTGTGGAGCACCCAGGCATCCGCAGTAAGCATGTGCCATGCTTTGAGAAAATGGCCCAGTCTGCCCCCCACCATAGTTAATGCCGACATATGAGGAGAGAGTGCACTCTGGGTCCTTGGGTTTGCCACGGTCTGCCTGGAACTGGGAAGAACAGTGAGGCTTGTTTGGGTTCCGGGGGTGTGAATCTGGATTGCGCGGAGCCACGAGAGCCCCCCGGTATGAGCTCCGGGGTGAGCAGCCGGGCAGACGGCCCCGATATCTGCCGGCCCCGCCAAAAACTCTCTGATGAAACACTCGCTTCATGCTGGCCTGAGCCTTATCAAGTGCCGTAAAGGTGCCCACATATGTGCCTAATTCTTTCACAAAATTATCCCCAAATAGGAGGGCTTTAGCCTGGGGGCCCGGCTCTGAGATAGCCAGGTTTACTAGCTTAGGCTCAATTTTAATTAGGATCGCTTTGCGTCTTTCCGTGGCCACCGCCGTATTAGCGTTGCCCAGGAGACACATGGCACGCTGGATCCACCCTCTGAGGGCTTCCAGATCCAGCAGTGCACCTCCTGCCAACGCGATTTTGACCATATCGAACATCCTCGCGATTGGTCCAAGGATGTCCAATACCTTATCCTGGCAATTCCGCCAGGCAAAACCCAGGCCCTTCTTGGCCTTCCATCCTGATTTTCCCAAAAATTGGGCGATTTTTGGGTCCACCTCCGGGGTGGCGCATGCCATATCTGGGATCGTGGGGCGTGGGCATTGTGCCTGCAGTTTGTTCCGTGCCACCTTATCCAGTGGCTTTCTGATGCGGGCAGCGATATATTTCTCTACATGGTCCAGTGGGTACCACATGGAGGACCTCGGGTGTTGTAGGGTGTCCGGGTCGAACAATGGTTCGCCCTGAGGGTCAACTAAGGCGGAGTAGTCAGCTCTGTCCTTGCGGTCCATGTCTGTGCATGTGACGGAGTCATATTCCAGCAATTGATTATCATTAAAATCATCAGAGTCCTCCTCCTCGGACTCACTCTGTGCCTCCTCTTGCTCCGATTCAGAGTCGGAGGATTCGAGTAGGGCCTTAGCCCTCTTCCATTTCCTCACCGATTTTGCCCGGTGTGGGACTCTTAGTTGTGGTCCAACCACAGGTTCTGTGACAGGATGTGCCCTGTCCAGCTGTAGGGTTTTGGAGGCGTACTCGTCTAAATGGCGAGACTTTTTAGCGGCTTTACGCCCACTAGGGGCCACCGGTTTAATTTCTGGGGGCTTAGCCATGGAGTTAGGCGGCAGTTGCGTGGCTCTCATCGCATTAGTTATGGAATGCGATAAATTATCTGACATGGCACCCATGGTGGTAAATATGGCCTGCGTCACAGATTTCGCCATAGCCGCGTCTAAGACGGAATGTAACTCCTCTGAGTCCATATGCTCTTGCGCTGTTTCCAATGCTGTGGACATTTTGGGGCCTTGCAAGGGTAGGGTGGTTATGGTGGCTCTAGGCGTTGTGGCACTATATGCTACGTTCTCAGCCTGCATGTCTGGGGTGGAAAGGACAGTAAATACAGGCAGGCTGGTAAGTATATCCCCTAAATAGGTTATCAGTATGGCTAAACCCCAACTATAATATTATCAAACAAACTAGCAGGCACCAGGCACCAATTTTTCACCAAATTGCTAACAAGGTAAGACAACAAATAACATTTGCAGCAAGCTCACTGAGTGTTCCCTCAGGAATAAGCTCCTGGGGAACACCGGGAGACTTGCCCAGCAACAGGGACCATCTTGGGGTTGGCAGTTTTGCTAGCGCGGCCAATACTGCTCGTTTGAGCAGTATTGGCCGCGCTAGCAAAACTGCCAACCCCAAGATGGCCGTCGCGATGCGCACTTGTGTTGTGCGCATACACGGGTGGCCGAAAACCGCATTAATAACCGTGGACCGCCGGGACCGCGACCGGCAGCGGTACCCTTGTGAGGGGAGACCAAGTGGAGGGAATGGGGAAGCAAACGGTCGGGAAATAAACAAACCGACCGGAGGGGGGAGGGGAAGAGAGAGGGAAAGAAAATACAGAGAGGACAAGACCCAAAGGGAAGAAAAAACAAGAAGAATATTAACACATCCAAACCCTGAGAGAAATAAAGGATTTAAAGGTAATCTGACTGAAACAGCAAAATATGTAACTGTCAGAAACAGAGGAGGAACAAAAATTTTTGTACTTATCTGAGGCTGCAGCAGCAAAAGAAAGAGGAGTGGCTTAGGGTCACATGGGACTTTATTGTAATAGGCACACTCTGACTGGTTCATATGTGGTATTTGGTTAACCCTTTGGAAGTTATGATGTAGTGTTATTGAATTGTTTTCTTTTTTCATTGAATATATATACAATATTTTCTTTTGCTGCTGAGGAATAAAAGAAAGAGGAAAGCATAATAAGAGCCTCCGTGTCCATTAATAAAATTCTAAGTGTCAAGGAGTGTTTCTTGAGTTGTGTCCAAGACTCTCTTGAGGGGTAGTGCCAGAAACATGAATATCTGTCCTGGATCTCTCTGAATGTCCAAATCTGAATGCCCAAACTAACCTTCTCTCTTCCCTTTGTCCTAACTTTTAAAGGGCCAGACTCTCTGTACGTCATTAATTGATAAGGCCAATAGGATACTGAAAAGTGTGGTCAACCTGCAGATCGCAATTTAGGTATTTGATCCATAGAGGGCAGTCTTGCCTCACGAAACCTTCCTATCCAGGAAAGAGTTAACTTTTCCTGATGACGATTTTGACGTCATTTGGCTTATCTAAAATGACTACCATAACTTAAATTTGCTGTCAGTTCAAAGCGTTTGCCTCAGTCTTTGTGGCAACGACTTTGATCGTAATTTCTAAAATTGACAGTTCAAAACGCAATTTCACCCCTTACTTACAATGGGACTGTAACGGACCGTTTTGCACAAAAGGGGTAAAAACCGTTTAGGCGATCGGCCCCCTTTCCAGAGATGCAGGCACAGCTACTGCAGAACACCAAGCTCCTGAACTGGATACAAAATAGCACTCCAACTCCCGAACTGGAACCTCACGAATAGCTGCCAGCAGACGAACAGGAAAAGCTCCCAAGCGGCTTACACTCCTGGCAATCAGTCTCTAACAGCATACAGTGAATCCCCCCAAGAACGAGACAAGGCTCCGTGTTGAGGGTCAAGCAGTGGTCTGAGGTGCTGGCACACCCAGCCTGGTTTCTATTACAGTGTTTCAAATACAGGACCACCCACAGGGAGGGATAAAACAACCAATCATATCACAGTTACATCCCACATATTCCCTCCCCTTATCCTGAGAGGAAACTCAATTATACATACAGTTAAAACATACTTTCTACCCAACTTCCATAACTCTAAAACCATACATCACATTCACATAAAATTACATATGCACAATCAATCCATTCAGGGGAACAACATATTCAAAAATGGCACAAATCAGACAAGGGGTTCAAAAGTTAGTTAAAAGTCCTTTGTGACTAAATGAAGCATGGCTTTCTGGCCCAAACCAGTTTCAGAGTCTTCTATCCTGGAGATAAGTAATTGAATTATCTCCCAGGACAGACACAAGACTCCATTAAGCACATGGTTGCAAAAAAGACACAAAGCACTTTAAAATACATAAAGTCACATTTATACATAAAACACAGACATTTCACATATCCCCAGATAGCTCAGGTCTGAGCGCACATTATTAAGTGAATGGCGCTCAGACCACACGAATACAGTTTAATCGCTATGGAGCCAAAGTCTTTACAGTCAGTTTCATACAAATGGGCTCCATGGGATTCCTATCTGGGGTATAACACATTCAAACAAATCTACTGAACCCCAGGCAGAAAAGCACGAATACAGCTTTTCTGCAGGCAAAAATAAAGTCTTTTAAAAGGGGGCCATAGTCCAAAGGCAGCAGGCGAGCAACCAGGCTTCTCCAATGCAATGTGGCGAGATTGGTCTCGTCCCAGGGACCTTGTAAAATTTAGAGAGTAAAATTAATCTTAGTCTTAGTCTTCTCTGTCACTAGTGTCTGTGTTTAAAATTATTTCTATTCCATTTACACTTAAACAGAGCATTCCATCCCCCTGCTTTATTGCTTATCACTTGGTGTAACGGCACCCCCAGGCATAAAAGGGTTAAACCGCCGTTTAGTAGATCTTCCCTTCAAGAGACACAGGCACAGCTACTGCAGAACACCAATTCGCCGAACAGGAAACCATATGAATGCCGTAAACAGCCGAATAGGAAAAACCATACGAATAGGTTTACACTCCTAGCAGTCAAACTGGAACAGCATACCATAAATCCCCCCAAGAACGAGACAAGGCTCTGTTTTGAGAGTCAAGAAGTGAACAGTCAGAACTGTGGGTTTATTGTTCTTATATACACATTAGTACCACCCACATGGTTTTGGAAAACAACCAATAAACACATACAATACACTCAGACACTCCCACACAAAATCCTCCCCTCTGCCTGTGATACAATTACCTTACACAACGGGTAATGTAATTATCACTGGCAGAGAAATACAGTTTTTCCACATTATTCATAACTTGAAAAGTATGCATCACATTCACATAACTTACATTTTCAAAATCAGCATACTCCAAATACAAACATATGTCAAAATCATCCAAATTGGTCCATTGGTTCAAAAAATAGATCGAAGTCCTTTGTGACCAAATGAAGCATGGCTTTTCTGCCCAAAACCAGTTCCACAGAGTCTTCTATCCTGGAGATAATTGGGAAGTAATCCAATTATCTCCAAGTACAGAGGCAAAACTCCATTGAACACATGGCAGTAAGAGACAATAAAAACACATAAAAA